AAAAATATGAGATCTAAGACCGCTATCAATAAAACTTACCAAATTAGTGTTTACTGCCAGGGAGCAAAAGCAGCTTTGGATAAAAATAAATTGCATCCAGATCTCAATGTCAAATACGGGGTTCATAAACTTCACATTTTGTTAAAATGAAGCTCAGAAGTGTCAATTTTTATGGTTCAAGTGATTATAAATCTTATATAAACTTTCTAATAGACCGTAAGAAAACATCAGTTTATGAGGTATGATTATTTGCGCTAAATTTTGTCTAAGAAATATAAATTTAATTATGACTCTTAATTTAACCAAGCTTTTTTTCAAAAAATTTTTTACTGTGTTTAACCAGAAAATACTGATGAATGCTTTCTTTTCATAGGTGACTGTATTACAAACAAAACTAAGAGTAGCAAGATTAAACTTTAGGTGCAGATAATTAAATTAGAATGATACAAGGATAGTCTATATATATAGAATAAGGCCTCTAAATGATTTGAAATCAGATGGTAATATTATTGTCTAAAGTAATATTAACATCACAAATGTGTATATATACATATGTAGAGAGGGAATGATAAAGTGAAAAAATGAGAATGAATATGAATCAGAGTAACCTGTCTTTGAATTAATTCCTTCACTATGAAGATGTGTCTAAACTTCTAAAGTTTCCTGGTTTGTATTAAAATGTTCTTCCAAAAGACCACAAAAACACAAATTTAGTTGACAGACTACAATGGGATCCAGAAAAAGACACAGTGAATATAGACTTAGGTGCAACTTCATGCTGGTGATTTTTCTTTTTTAAAACGTTAAGCCACTGATATTTTAAGAAAAAAATTTAAACCAAATGTTGCATATTAATATTACACACAAACTGAAACATAAGTGACTTTTAGCACAGTGTATACATGCTTACATAAACTCAAATATTTACACATTTAAAACAATTTCCATTTAACATATGAAAGTTCTGAAATACATAAAAGCATTGATACTTTCTATAAAACTACAATTAGAACATCAATTTGCTACAAGCATATAAAACATCAAGTGCTTTCATAGAGTTTCAAGTTACCTCTTTAAAACAAGATCTTGCTTGCAAATATATAGTCCTTCTCCAAAAAGCAGTATGGACTTTTTTTTCCCCCAAGAGGTTTACTTTCCAGGTACATTTTAAGCTCAAGAAAACGAACCCAACAATTATGCAGTATAATTATGTCATAACAACTTAATTGCACATAATGCTTTAAAGTAGGTTTGGATGAAGTTCTCAAACACTTTGGTATATGTTCTTCAGGGACTTCTATTAGAAATAACAGGAATTCTAAGTCCCTTCAATCCCCATTTTGTTTTAAAATGGACAAATCTTTGGTTAAAGTTCTACATTTTGGGCATTTATTATTCATCAAAATGGTCCCCAAACCAATAAATGGCACTGACTTCATTTAACTTGTTTCTGGTGCAGTGGGAGGCTACAGATACTCATTTATTATGACATGTCATCGATAGTTTCAATTTTTCACTTATAAGCAGAGAAATCAATAGGTTTAGTCAATATTTCTCTGTTCATTTTTTGTTATAATCTAAACTGTACAGTAATTTGCAGTAAGTATGGATACTGTTCCACAGTATATGTAATTATGATTGGAAAGATATACAGCATTAAATTTAGAGTTAGCTTACTCGGAATAAGTCAACAAAGGCTGTACAGTAATTCTGCATTGACTATAGTAGGTTGTCAAGTAATGCTTATTTAAAAACCCCAAACCATTCCATTTACAAGAGAAATTGTTGCAAATGTATAAAACAGCAGATATACAAGGAGAACACCAAACATACTTTATTAGCACAAAAAAGCAGCCATAACAAGGCACAGCAAGCAGAAACATATATTAGCAGTCAAAGGGTTAGTGTTGCATACAAATATAGCTTTTCTTTTTTGTAGCCTTGGCAGTAGCCATCAGGATGTAAAATAACTTTCTGTAGCAGCAGGTAAGGAAACTAAGGAGCACTCACCAGTGGTACAGAGCACATTAACGAAAGACACAAGAATGAATTCGACTACTTTAGTGCAAAATGTCTAGGACAGAACTATAAATTCAGTTCAATTCTAAGAAGCAAACACTAGAACTTGGCATTACTTCCAAAATAGCTCACTCAAGTAGTATTGCATACTATTCTAAGTGACAAAAAGGTGCTAAGTATAGTTATTTACAGATACAATGGTTGTACAGTACCTTTTAAATCTGCAATTTAGGTTTCAGATTTTCCATTAAAAATTAACTGCACTGAAATTCTATAAATTGTACTTAAGCAATTCAGCTATGAGAGTTTACAACAAAGAGATAAATACTGCCATCCAAATTATTACAGTTTAACAATAATCTCAACATCAGCAACCACTGTAGTTATTATCTGACTTGTTTGGGCATCTTCTAGTCTTATTTCCTCCATGGTTCACAAACTCATCATGGGCATAGGAAAAGATCCGATGTTAATGAATCAACGATTAAACTGCACATGTCAACTTTAAAAATCACACACAGGACTACACTGCAGTAGCTATTCCTAATGTGTTTTAAGTTAAAGCACTCATTAAAAAAATTAATACCTAAGGCTTTTAAATAAAAGTCTCCTACCAACTTTATACATCTGAAATTTTAAGAACTACTATTTAGAACACCTGGTTTACTTAACAGTACCTTTTGCAGAAGAGAAAAGGAGACTGACTATAAACTCTACCAACACTTAAGTGAACTGCACTATGCCCTTGTGGCCAGATAATTGCATTTTTCCCCCCAAAGGAAGGCAGTCTTTATTTTTTGGACTTCCAAAGCTTGATTTATAGTAACTATGAACACCACTACTTTTTGGAAGGTCATAGAAAAATTTTTAGAAAATATAATAATTTCAAACATTAGTCACACTGTTGAAATACTCATCCAATATTAACAATTTGTTCTTCAGTAAGAAATAGAATTCTTCATAGCAAATGCCCCAGAGTTGCCTCACTCAATTACTACAGCCATTAAAAACCAAATGGTTAGCTAAATTGGCAAAATGTTCCTGTAGGCTTACTGAACACGTGTAGTTCTATCCTGTTGTCTTAATAGGCACCAAGTTTTTCTGAGTAACAGCAGATCGCATCTGACAGATACTAACACTAAGCTTACGTACTGTACTGAAAAAAACCTAACACTGATATGTGTGCTTGCTATAGGTGTACTGTCTGATGCATGTAAAAGCAGACCTAGTTAATGCCCTTTGGGACAAGGGAGTTTACTTTGCCTTGACTGGTTCTCGTTCTAACCAGCGAACTCTAACTTTTTGTTTATAATGATACTCTTTTAAAAAATCCTGTAACATTGATGGTAAAGGCAGCCCATCAATGCCATCATATGTAGTGCATCTGCAGATTACTGCACGGCAGATATACTGCAGGCTAAAAGGGAAAGTCCTATTTAGTGAGATAGTAAGCAATGGTTCGAAAAACATGCAAGAACTGGGATCTTTATAGTGTTCCAAAAGTCCTGTTACAGTGGAGGAGTGAAATACACATGGGTCATGAGCATCGAAACTAAAGTTGTGATTCCATTGTTCAATTCGGGCATGCAGGGATCTGTTGTAGCGACGGAAGCTCACAGAGAAGAGGTAGTCCTCCTGCGCAGAGTCCCTGAGCAAAAATGTGCCTTCAGGTTTCCCTTCGAGAAGGGCTTCTGCTTCATAACGGTCCATCACTCCCCAGTAACAGGGATTACCTGTAATCTGAAGCAAATCGGGCACGAGGCAGTGTATGTAATCAATCTGTGTGTGGACTTTCCAAGCTCCCTGTCTGCTGACGTGGGCGTGGCTGTCTCCAGATACCTGACGTTGCTTCTGTCTACGTGACTGCAAACACAGGGTGGTTGTGTCCTCTTCTGAGTCACAATTAGCTTGTGGAATTGCAGAACTGTCTCCACTGATTTCAGTCATTCCAGGAGCTAACTTTGGTCCCAGTTTATACAACGGATTGACCTGTGCAGTGGCTTCAAATGTATGTATTTGTGCATTGGGAGGGGGGTCAACCCCTTCTTCAATACTAAGCCGTCTTCTCTCTCTCAGCCTATCTTCTTCGTCCTCTGTAGAAACCAAGGATGGATCAAATGTATCAAAAAATGTTGAATGTGGGCTCACAGGGGCTGTATGCTGTTTAATCAAATGCCATTTTTGGGCTAAATCTGAGCCAGCAGGAAAAGGGCATTTCTCAAGCATCAATTCAGAAAGGTGTATTTTTCTTTTATTAGAAAAGAGAGGCTTCGACTGCTTGTTGTAAGTTCTCATGGGAAAACACAAGCCCACAGTATCCTGCAACCTCTGTCTCAGAGAGCGACTTCTGCTGGACACGCTGTCCATATCATGTACAGAGCTGACGCCATAGCGCCTCTCTCTCCTTTGAAGTCCACTTCGAGTTCTACCAAACTTTTTATCAGTATCCAGTGAACTCTGTGTCTTTGTAGAACAGGAATGTTTCTTCTTCCCACCCCATGGAGCATGTCGAGAGTAGGAATCTCTTCTTGTAAGTCTTGTTCCTGGGGTGACACACGAATCATTATCTTTTTCAATGCTTATTTCAACAATCTGAGGAATTTCAGTAGCACAGTTTTGGTTTCTCCTTGAAGAATTCTTTGAAGGGCTTAATCCCAGTTGTAAGGCAATGTTTTCTCTTAAGGGACTACTTTGTTGCTGAGGAGCGGAGTCTTCCATACTGCTGTTTTTCTCTCTCACGGGCAAACATCTGCTAGAGTTCATGTCCACATTTTCACTACGGCTTCCTCCCTCATGACTGAAGAAATTCTGACACCTGTATTTGAAGTTATTCCACATTTTCCCCACTTTATCCATTGATTATAAGATCTAAAGACAAAACAGGAAAAGGAGAAAAATAAGTTAAAGTGGCATGTGGAAACAGAAAAGACAGCACCCACTCCTTCTCAATGGAAATGTCAGCGATGCTGGTCAAGAATTCGCCTTACACTGCAGTGCTAAGGTGATAAGGCGAACATTCTGTCTGGTAGTCTTAAGGTCACCAGGCCCTTTTGTGGCTCTGCACCATTATTCAACTAGTCCTCACTTACCATTTCCTTTTAGATAGAATATTCAGAACTCAGGGGAAAGGAAATAAACCCTCTCAATTAAACTCCGGTTTCTTTTTACCATGTATCAACCTAATTTCATTATGACATTGATTGTCTCCTTACTTTGAATAATTTAGGCACACTCTCAAGTATTAAAAGGAAAAATAGATTCTGTATTGCTGAAACATAGCTGTATTCAACTTCTCAAAAGTTATAATGAGGACATTTGTATAACATTAAAACTAATTCAAAAACCTGTAAGTAGCAATCTTCCCAAGTTCATTTACCAAACTGCTACTCCACTCATCTAGCAATCTAAAGCTTCCAGGTCAACCACTTGTCAAAATTCCCTATCTTCCCTCCCCACCCTACAATGTATCAAATTTTATCCATGATTTTGAAGCAGTCTGATAGAAAGGACAATGGGAGGAAAGAATATAATATTCAAGTTTAAATGGAAAGGTGTCTTTAAGCTTCTCAATTCTTAATTCTAGAAGAGCTTAGAGTTATAGGAAAAAAATTATGATACTGTAATAATAAACAAAACAAAAACAAAAACATGCAATTTGACATCTTTATTCTTGTTCCTATAAAAATTTTAAGCAGTTTAAGGCACTTTACAAATAAATTATTTTAAGATTACAACATTGACAGGTACAGTCTCTTTCAATAACCTAAAAGCCAACGTTAGAAGAAATGGAAAAACGTGAACTTAAATTTCAACTGGTTTTGTCACATGACAGCAGAAATTTTAAAAAGATGTCTTTTTCTATTTTGCCATTTAATCAATACGGCACTCCTTTTCCCTGGAATTTTTTGTTCGTGATTATTATCTCATTATTTACTATTCTTTACAGTTTAGAATCTAATACAGATTCTAAGCTATTTGAGTATTTTTTCTTAATAGTGGTGAGTCATTGATCCTTCCATAATTCTGACTAATCCTCTTTATCATAAATACTTGTATTTTCGAGAAGCTGACTAAGGTTAAGATAACAACAAAGAATAAACTTTCTTAAACTCAATGATATATCCTCCCTTTAGTTTCTTACAGAAAGAGCTCTTGGACTAACAATGCTCTTGGACTAATGACAATGAAAACAGAGATTTTATGTTTCTGAAATCATGAAAGGTACTTTCAGATTACTCTTTATTAAAAGCATATAGGTACATAAGAGTTTGCATGGTAGGTGGTACATGTTCTAATAAAATCTATTAGATGGAACTGTTAAATTTTGTTAAACTTTATCAGAACATTTTCCCTCCTTCTCCTTGCAAAAATCTTTTTTGTAGGCCTTCTTTGAGGCTTATACCATTTGAACTGAATATGCTTTTTATCCTTTTTTTTTTTTTTTAACAGCAAGATTTCTGTTCTTTGCTCACAGTCCTGTTATATACAGGACTAATTCTTGCCTCATTCTTGATGACTACAAAATCCTTGTAGATGTACTCTTCCAATAATAACCTAGGCCCTCCTAGCCTAGTTTCGTTCTCATTTATTTTTAAGTTGTTTATTTTTACCTAATTCATACATTTATGGTTTCAAAGGTCAAACATTACTACACAGCTTATGACAAAAAATAGCACTGTCTGCTACATCCTTTCCATCCTTGATGCCCAGAGAATCAAGCAAAATTATTTTAAATTCTTTCAGCTGTTTCTGCTGGTATTTCCTCATTTCTAGGTAATATGTTCATATTGTTATTGGTTGTGAAATTTCTAGGTTGGAAATAATTTACTCTCAGAATTTTGAGGGCATTACTCTAGTGGGGCTGTTGAAATGCCCAATATCTTACCACTTTTTAGTTTTATATGACCTGTTTTTATTTCATGAAAAAGTATAGCTGCTTCTCTTTATCCTTAGCGTGGGCCTTTTTTACATTTATTGTGCTGGGCCTTTTCAATGTCCTTCCCACTGCCCTCTTCCTTCTCTCTTGAAAGTCCTTTTTATTAGATACTAGACCTCTTAGTTCCTCTTTTGATTATCGTATATTTCTTTTCAATATTGCATTTCTTTTCCTCTTCTACTGTTTGGTAGATTTCTTTGGCATCACTTTCTAACACTCCTATTGCATTTAAATTTTTCTTATCATAGTTTTAATCTCCAAGACCATTTTCTTGTTCTCTGTTCTTTTTAATAGCTATTTTAACTTCTTGGATGTAATATCTCATTTCTCTAAGGATACAAAATTTTAAAATAGCTTTTTTTCTTTTAACATTTCAAATATTTTTATCTGTTTTATCTCGGTACCTTTTTCTCAAGTTTTTAAATCTCTGGTTTTTTATTATTATTTTTTTTTTATTTTAGAGGCTTTCCACAAGTGTTTGGTGATCCCTGGGTATCCATCAGTATTAACAGACTAATCAGAAGCTCCTTCTGCTTGGGTAGCTCTAAAAGACAGAAGCAAAAGGACACTGCTCTGCAGTGGGGTATGAATGGTCTTAAATAAACTACCTGCCATAATTTCATCACCATTTCTCTTTATTTTTGTCATGTATACAAGAGGCCTACAGAATCCTAAGAGAGACCATCTAGAGCAGTGTCTCTTAAACTATCTGTAATGAAGAGCCAGTTTCTTTTTAGTTTTGCAGACTGACTTTTTGGTGAAATATAATAAGAATAAATTACTGGAAATATGAAATGTAAAAAAAGACATGAAATGCAAGTGTCGATTTTCTATTAGATTGAACGAACATAAAAAAACTGTCAAATTGCTATAAAATATTTTAAATGCTTATTATGTTTAATTTCTATACCTAACTTGTCACAGACTGCTAATGAACTGTATAGACTGGCACCAATTCATGGCCAATAGTTTGAGTAGCTCTGGTTTAGAGCTGTGCTATCCAATATATGCGGTTACTGAGCCCCTGAAATGTGGCTAGTGTCACATACTGAAATGATATAACTGGGTAAATATATTATCAAAATTAATTTCATCTGCTTCCTTTTACTTTTTCAATGTGGTTACTAAAAAACTTGAAATTACATATATGGTTCAAATTATATTTCTTTTGGACAATGCTGATCTAGAGCAGGGGTCAGGAAAATATAGCCTGAAGACCAAATATGGCTTGTGGCCTATTTCTGTATGAATTCTAGCTAAGAATGGTTTTTACATTTTTAAAGGGATTTTAAAAAAAAGCCAACAATGAACGTTGACAGAGACCACATGTAGTCTGCGAAGCCTAAAATATTTTCCACCTGGCCCTTTACAGAAAAAGTTTGCTGACCCTGGTCTAGTGTGATAAAATTATAAACCAAACCACTGTAGACGCTAGAAGAGTAATATTCAAGAGGTCCAGAAGTCTCTCTTCTCCATGTTTATAATGTATATTTTGTAGCTATCTAAAGATATTTCTTTCACAAGCAAATTATATCAGAAAAATGTGTTTTAGAAAGCAACCAAACTTAAAAGCACTTATCTCTTTATACAGTTGTTTATAAATTAAACAAGTGAGACATGCAGAAAACATTTGCACTTGCCAGGTTATAGATGGCAGTTTCTAACACTAAACCTTTGGGTTCAGTTTTATAGATAGAACATGAAATTTAGTAATTTCTCTATTCCTAATCTGAATACTGTTGATAGATTAAATTGTGACAAAATATTCTAATTTAAAGAAAGACTATTATGCTTCCAAACCTTCTGGGGATAGAAAGTGGAATTTTTTCTTGATGTGAGAAATGCTATGTGGGCGGCTGTAATACTGGGAATTAAAAAATTCTGATGATTCATAAAAGAGTCCACATAAGAATCAGGAAGGCATTTCAACTATCTTAATACTTACAATGTCAGTTTTGAGGTTCTTTTGTTTTGTTGTTCAACTTTTAAAAAACCCTGAGACCTAAATTACAACTCTATTACTTTACGGTTTTATATAAAGTTACACACGGCTAAAAATGTGTTAAATTTCAATTGTATGGATTCTAAAAGGAAAGTTCATCATCCATTACAATCTTCCACATTTCTATGCCTGCATAGCTTTCCTTAAATATTCCAAAACAAATTTCTAAAAACTCATTCCTTCCCCAAGGACAATCATAATTTTAAACTGGTTTTATAATGCTGGTGTAAGTTAAACAGCTTTTGTTGAAACACGGTATTTAACAGGATAAGCTATAAATTAGAATTATAAAAAATTAGAGGTCAAATTCCATTACTAGAAAAATTTACATATATAAAAAAATTAAAGACTACAGTCAATGGCCCTCTTCCTGCCAAGTTGTATCTATTACAAAATTTCCACAAAACAACTGAAATAGTTTCCAGGAATTCATTTCAATGAGATTTAATTCACACTTTATTAGAAAAAAAAATTGAGTTCGACAAGTTTTAAGACTACATGGGATGCCACAGTGGATAAAGAGGAAGAATGTGACTCAACTCAAATCCCTCCTTTACTGTTTAGTCTAGCTAGACTACTTAGTCATAATAATACCTTTCCAACAGAAATTCCTTCAGTTACAGTAACAAAAATTGGGACACATGGATTGATGAAAGTATTTCTGTGCCAACTTCTGGTACAAGAGGCAGTGTAGGAGATTCAACTTTTGATTAATATTTTGGTGACATTTCAATAATTTTTAGAAAAAGATAATATGTTTAATATTAAGACTGGCCCAGAAATCCAGGGCTGCATGGCTGTCATAGCTATACATAGGTATAGTCTCCCTTAAAAAATCTGAAAACCATCTGGGTTTTAAAAAAATTATTTATTTTTTGTTATTTACATACTTTTTTGTGACTAACTGGATTCCTATTTAATTTTTATACT